ACCACAAACCTCACTTCAACAGAGGTCCAACAAGGCAACAGGAAGGAAGGCGAGGCAGGAGGCTGAGATCAGGGATCCCTTTGTGTGATGGAAATTGCAGGTGTTGCATCAGACACAGCCCTGCTCTCACAGTTTGTGTACCGGGCTGGTTTGAGGAGGATGGGTTTTGGTTTTATCTCAAAACCCTTTGTTTGCCAGGGATGAAAATGAGCCTTTACTTCCCCAGCAACAACCCCGCAATTTCCTGAGAGAACCAGAGTGGGGGCAGCAACCTTTGCCCACCCAGCAGGGCGTGACAGATGTCTGGGATGTTCAATGTTATTTTCTTCCTCCACACCAGCTGGAACATCCCCAGCAAGGTCTGGCAGCTCCAAACACTGTCAGCCCTGTACCAAACCACCCCAAACCTCATCCCGATGGCTGGCGTCCACGATACATAAATAAATAAAACAGAAAACAGCTGATTTTATCATGATTAATTTGGTTTTTTAAAACATTCTTTCCCACCTAGAGAAGCTAAAGGCTTTGACCAGCACTTCACTCACAGCATCAATCTCGTTGAGGATCTTCCACTGCTCGTACAGGACCCCCAGCGACTCGGCCGTCTGGATCGTCCTCTTCAGCTGGCTCGTCCACACCTTCAGATCCACAATCTCCTGCTCCTCGATGAACTTCCTCAGAGCTTGGGAAAACTGGGAAAAGAAGAGCTCAGGGGTGGTTAGGAGGGAGAGCAGGGGAAGCCACAGTGGTTCAAAGCATCATTTCAAGGGCCGTGGCATCATTTCAAGATCCGGCTGCCCCGCACGGGGCAGGGGGGGGACGCAGGGCCCGGCTCTGACCCTGCTCACACAACACAGACACAGCAACCAGGTGCTGCCAGGCACATACCTGCTTCCCACGAGGTGACAGACCAGAATCCCCACCAATCTTGCCAACAAGATTATATTCACTCTCACCGTGTCGGCAAAGGTAGATGGTGCGCGGCTGGACATGAATGTTCATTAGGTAATAGACGATTTTACTCTGGATGTAATCCTGGACTCTGTTTACTAGGAACCGCTGGCCCACATTGATCACTTTAATGAAGGAAAGATCTCTGGAGTCAAAATAAGAACACCCACACGACTGGTTTTAAAAACGAAGCACGTGCACCTGCGGGTGTAACCCAGCTATTTATGCTCTAGGAAAGGCACCAGCACTGCCCCTGGTCGCTCTAGCACACAGAAGAGACTGCTGGGCTTCAAAATGCTTCCCTGTGAGGGTGGTGGGGCCCTGGCACAGGTTGCCCAGAGAAGCTGTGGCTGCCCCATCCCTGGAAATGTTCAAGGTCAGGTTGGACAGGGCTTGGAGCGACCTGGGATAGTGGAAGGTGATCTTTAAGGTGCCTTGCAACCCAAACCTTTCTGTGATTCTCTGATCACACTAGAGAAAAAAACCTTTCAAATCGCTCAGGACCCTTGATATCACCTTCACACAATCACACTTTGGGAGAGCAGAGGATGCAGCAGACACGCTGGAGCGTCCTGAGCCACAGAGCAAGGCAGCACGAAGTGCAGCCCAGGGATTTCCTTACTTGTCATAAGCATCGGGATCCAGAGGCTGGTAGGTGACCTTGTAGCACTCTATCCTCTTCAGGAAATCGTCCATCACGTTCTCCCGGTGTCTCTCTGGGTAGTCGGGGCTGGAAACTTTCACCTCCTGGTCAACAGACAGCGTGGCTTTGTGAGAGCAGAGCAAACTCAAGAGGGAACAAAAGCAACGCTGAATAAGGTTATTCTTCTCTTTTGCAACAAATCCACATTGTTTGACGCTGCCCTGAGGAAAAAACCTGCTCCTGGAGAGGAAACAAAGGGCGACTCTGAAGGCACTGAAGTGCCTGGCCTTGGCAGACACACTGTGAGCTCTGCCCTCCCTCACCAACGCACGCCACTCCAAGGTCAAACATTCCTCAGCTTCATTTGATTTCCACATTCTCACATAACGGCTCCTCTAGCTTTTAATAAACCCGCAAACCCCAGCTGCCCGTTCCCAAGGTGAAATGGAAGAGCGAGGCATTTGCAGACAATCCCCCTAAGCCACTGGGAGCCCGTGACCTTGCTCTGAGTTCCCACAGCAGCTGAGCCTGGAAAACGCAGCACGCACCAGGATGTTGGCAGCGATGACCTCTGGATCGTCACAGACAGACTCCACGAAAAACACCTAGGGAGAAGGCAGGGAAGCACATTTCAGAGAGGCAAGAACTCCACCCTGAATCAACACTCGAGAGCTGCTGCCCCGGGGAGCCACAGTGTCCCTCAGTGCAGTGACTACAAATCAAACACAGGAGCACTACCTTGAAAGCATTTTCCTTTGCAAAACTTAAGATCAGGTCCCGTCGCTCTCGAGTTGTGTTGGTGGCATCAAACACCTATCAGAAAACCAGTAGCAATAAGCAGGTTTACCTAAGACTTTTAAACCACCCCCAAGTCAGGTCCCCAAACACCCCAGCAGCTTTCAACTCCCCCCGTGGAAAACTCTGTCTGGTGCAGAGGATTCTTACAGCTATTTGCCCGCACTCCTCCAGCAGATAAGCCTTCACATCTTCCAGAGCCACCAAGGCACATCGTCTGTGGGACAGAAACAGGGCTTGTCAGAGCTCACGGAAAGCATTCCCACAGCAAAGCCTCTGAACCGCCAGGGAGGGATTTGAACGCCTCTCTCCCACCCCTGCACCTTCCCAAGAGCCCCAGAGATCACAAGGCACCTGCACCTACAACCTGCTCCATCACCTAGCACTCACAGCCCAAAGTGAATAACAACACTCCCACGCACATCCCCTCTGGCAGGATCCCTGTGCTATTCCCTCCTGCATTTCAGATGTTATTTTGTGCTCCTTAAACTGCGCCTGCCAAGACCTGAGAGTCCCCAGCCCAGTCCAGCCCCCAAAACCAACTCACTTGCGGATTTCCATGGCTTCCTTGTTGTCGTGCCTGAAGAAGTCGTAGGACTTGTAGGACTTCACTGCCTCGCGCCGGTACACCCCTAAATTAAACACTTCACACACAAGAGAGGAGGAGGGCGTGAGGCTGATGGAATTTCACTGATGGATCTCCCAGCAAAGGGCAAAAAAACATCACCCCCCCCCCCCCCCCCCACACACACACACACCTTTGGTGGGCACCCCGATCCAGTTGAGGTAGCGGGTGAGCTTCTTGGACATGTAGGTCTTGCCACGGGCGGGCAGCCCGATCATCACGATCAGGGTCGGGGAGTTGGTCATGTAGGAAGCCCATGCTGCAAAAAAACCCCAAAAAACCAAAAAAACCCCCACCCCAAAACAGCAGCATCAGCAGTGCTGCAGAGCAAAAAGCGACACCCGACTCAAAGCCACCCCGTCTCCTGATGGACAAACCACCTCCGTGCATCTCCTAACGGGCTCTCGTGCATCCCGTAATGAGCTCGTGCTGTGTCCTCGCGGCTAATTAAGTGCTGTGACCACTCGGTGGTCTCCCAGGTGTCCGCTAATGAGGCAGACCGGGAACACCTGTGCCTAATGGGGCTAAAACGCGGCTTTTAGCCCTAAAAGTATTTACCGACCGGGGCAGGAGCCGCCAAGGGCGAAGGAAAGATGTTTTTAACAAACCGGTCACGTTCTCTCAGCAAACAGCCAGGGCAGGCTCCGAAAATGCCCAGGGAGAGAGGCAGGTTCGGGGGAAAAGCAGGGGATGGGGATGGATGCAGCCTCCGGGAGGCGGAAAAGCGGGAGGATGGGGGGGCGAGCGGGGCAGGGTGACCCCGAGGAGGATGGGAGACAGGGCGGGCAGGGCTCGGGCATCCCCGGCGGGGGGAACACGCGTTTTCGGGAAGGGGTGCTCTTTCCTCCACGGTGCGGGCAGCGCTACGCGCACAACCCCCATCCTATAATTAATTCCCTTAATGAAACGAACGCGCATCCCCATCTCCCTCCCTCCCTCCCTCCTTCCCGGGTCGGGCTTACTCACAGCACTGCTTCTCGCCGGCCCGGCCCCGCGGGGCCCCGCCGCAGCCCCGGGGCGCCGCCGACATGGCTCCGGCACGGCCGCGGCTCCGCGCCGCATGCAAATGAGATGCAAATCTGCTATGCAAATGAGCGGTGGGCGAGAGGAGGGGGGAAAGGGGCGGCTGGGAGCGAGGCCGCGTCACGCGCGCGCTCTTATGCAAAACAGGTGGGCGGGGCCGGGGCAGCGGGGCGAATCAACCGAGAGAGCTTATTCCTATGCAAATAAGATGGGGGCGGTACCGCGGTGCAAGTGAACACACACAGCTGCCCTCCCTTTATATGCAAATGAGATGGGCGGTGCCAACTCGACCTATGCAAATAATGCGCACATTGTGGCCGTCTCGATGCAAATGAGATAGGCGGTGCCGCGGGGCGCTATGCAAATGAGATTCATATACCACTCGTCTCTATGCAAATGAATCCGCACACCATCCGCCTCTATGCAAATGAGACGGTCATACTATGCAAATGAGAGCCACACACCACCCGCCTCTATGCAAATGAGACGGGCTGTGCTCTCGCGCGCTATCTAAATAAGACAGGAATGGTCATGTTATGCAAATGAGATAAACGCCGTTCTCCATCTCTATGCAAATGAGATCGGGGCGGTGCCGCCGTTGTTATGCAAATGAGATACACACACCGGGGCGTCTCTATGCAAATGAGATCGGGGCGGTGCCGCCGTTGTTATGCAAATGAGATACACACACCGGGGCGTCTCTATGCAAATGAGATCGGGGCGGTGCCGCCATTGTTATGCAAATGAGATACACACACCGGGGCGTCTCTATGCAAATGAGATCGGCGGTGTCGCGGGGGGCGCTATGCAAACGATATAAACGCCGATTGTCGCGCCTATGCAAACGAGGTGGGCGGCGCTATGCAAATGAGGAACCCGCCTCTATGCAAAAGACCCCGGTGCCCCCGGCGCGCTCTCGCGAGAGCTGGCCGGGCGGGGCGGGGCGGGGCGGGGCGCGCGGCGGTGCCGGTGCGGGGGCCGCGATGCTGCGGCTGCGCTGCAAGGCCCGCAGCGGGTCCCACGCGCTGCCCGCGCTGTCCCCGCACTCCCCGCTCCGCGACATGCAGGCCGCGCTGGCCGCGCTCACCGGCGTGCCCGCCCCCGCCCAGCGCCTGCTGCTCGGCTTCCCGCCGCGCTGCCTCGACCTCAGCGACGGCGAGCGGCGGCTCGGCGAGCTCGGCATCCACTCGGGTGAGGAGGGGGAGGGGGGGGGGTGATTAATGTAATTGTGTTAATTAAAGAGGCCGTGGCGCCGCACGCCCGTCATCGGCCGCCGGTCGGGCCGGTTCCTGTCCCGGGGAGGTGTCAACACCCCGGCTCGGGAGCGTTTCCTGCTCGGGAAGCGCCCGTGGTGCTGCGGCGGCATCCCGGGGGTCCGGAGGGGCTGGAGGGGACGGGAGCGGGACACGCCAGGTGAGTCCCCCCCCGGGGCCGCTGTGCTGCCACCGGCTGCTTGGATAGGGCTCTTTTCCATCGGGATACTGAGCTGTGGCTGCCCCATCCCTGGAAGCGTCCGAGGCCAGGTTGGACGGGGCTTGGAGCAACCTGGGGCTCGTGGAGGGTGGAACTGGGTGGTCTTTAAGGTCCCTCCCAACCCAAACCATTCCACGGTTCCATGATTCTCTTCTATGACCCTCGGCAGCAGCAACAACAACAGCACCACAGCCGTGTTGTTTGTTGTGTTTCAGGAGCAGCGGCAGCTTTAAACTCCAACCTCTCCCTTGTCCCCTCTGGCAGGTGACACCCTCATAGTCGAGGAGGACACATCCAAGCCCGAGCCCGAGCCGCCCGTGGTAGCCAAGAGAAACATGTCCCACCCGCTCAGGGAGGCCGTGCCCGTTCTGGCCAGGAGGGTGGTCCCGGCAGACAACTCCTGCCTGTTCACCAGCGTGTCCTACGTGGTGGAGGGCGGCGTGTACGACCCCGGCTGCGCCCCGGAGATGCGGAACCTCATCGCCCAGATCGTGGCGAGCGACCCCGAGTCCTACTGCGAGGCCGTGCTGGGCAAAACCAACAGGGAGTACTGTGACTGGATCAGGAGGGAGGACACCTGGGGGGGGGCCATCGAGGTGTCCATCCTGTCCAAGTTCTACCAGTGCGAGATCTGCGTGGTGGACACGCAGACGGTGCGCATCGACCGCTTCGGGGAGGACGCCGGCTACGCCAAGCGCGTCCTGCTGATCTACGACGGGATCCACTACGACCCCCTGGAGCGCCGGATCCCCGACTCGGACATTCCCCCCCAGACCATCTTCTCCACGAGTGACGACGTGGTGCTGGCGCAGGCCCTGGAGCTGGCGGACGAGGCCAGGAGGAAGAGGCAGTTCACGGACGTGAACCGCTTCGCCCTGCGGTGCATGGTGTGCCAGAAGGGACTCACGGGGCAGCTGGAGGCCAGGGAACACGCCAAGGAGACTGGACACACCAACTTCGGGGAGGTGTGACGAGGGCAGCATGAGGATGGTTCCATCAACTACCTCACCGGTCCAGGATCAGATTCTGGATTCCCCCCCCCCCTCCCCCAGATAAGCTGTTTGTAACCATAAAAAAATTTAGTTCTTGACAAAAAAAAAAAGGAAAAAAAGAAAAGAAAAGCTTGAAAAGCGAAAGTAGCAAAGTAACTTAATGGTGGCCAGGTTTGGGAAATAGGGTTTTGAAAATAGGGATCTCGCATAGGAGGTGGTGGAGAGGGCCAGCTACACCTCGATTCCTGGAATAACCTTTTGTGTTATTGTGGTCTGAGCACATAGACACAATCAGGCTCAACACTGGTGTAAAATCCACCTCTGAGTCGCTGAGTGAACCTCTCTATGTTTTCCAGGGAATTGAATTAATCCAGAGGTTTGGGAAACACACATATCAGCATTACTTACACTCAGAGTTAGGCTCTGCACGTGGGAGCGCTTCTCAGAGGAGAAACTGCTCGTGAGCTGCACAATTTGTAGTAGAAATAGCAAATATAACATCAAAATGCAATCTGTAATAGAAAGGGGGATCTCAGAGCTGCCCTACACCATGTTACCATCAGGAGCAGACTGTAGTTTGTGTGAAAAGAACTTTAGGGAAAGAAGTGGCCTCTAAGCTTTAAGGTAGCCTTCTTGAAATTAATGAGTAGATGGATAAGTGTTGAATAAACCTATTAATCCTCCATAGGTAGTTTTTAGTTGCTTGAAAAAAAAATAACTCTGGACCCCCCTGGTGTTTACACTGCATCAGAACATAGGCATGTTTTCCTGGAGTACTTGGGATTCTTCTTCATAATAGTATTGGAAATTCTGGCAAGAGGGAAATAAGTAGTTAGGGAAATGACTTAATTTGCATCTGTTAAATACATTTAGGGAGACTTTACTTGAGTAGAGCCAGTCATGGCCATAGTGTTACAAAGCTGTCCCAGGTTCCAAATACTGTATTATGAGCACTTTAAGGTTGAGTTCTCACTCTTTGCTGGTAATAAGTTTTGCCCTTTTAAGGTCAGAGTGCTGAGCCAGAAGGGAGGCTTGAAGTTTCTTCATCTGCTTTCTGCCTTAATGTGTTTGTTTTATCACTGGTGACTGTAGAGTAGCAAGACTTTTAATTCTGATAGTGAAAGGTGCAGTTGAAATTTCAGAACAAAATAAGCTGTATTTGTACCGTTGAGTATCAGGGAAGATGATATTGGTTTAATATCTTACCTCACAGTGGGGTTGTGAGGCTTAAACAGCAAGTGCTTTTGAGGTCTTTTAAAAGGTGCTGTAAAGGTGCATATTACTGAAGGGGATTTTATTTTTTTTCCTTTGAAATGCCTGCGACACATACTTGTTTCTTGAATTTTAAAATATTCTTTGCCTGCCATTTTCCTGTTACTGTCTTGAGTGACCTTCCTTGCACTTTTAAAATGGGGAGCAAGAACATGCTCTATCTTTGGACTGAGGCAGAAATAAACCCACTTTCCACGTGGAACCTAAAATCCAGTTTTAAAGGCCTCCATTCCTTGAGCCACCTGACTGAAGTGGGGCAGCAAAACCACCTATTCTGCACAAAAATCACGTTTCACTGAAGTTCTCAGCAAGAGCTCCCAGTTGGATCTTGAAACACAGGAAGGTCTTATTGAAGAAGAAACATAATTACACAAGTGCTTTGCTCAATTAAGGCATGAATAATTGAATATAAAGACTAGAATCACCAAGAGCACTATGGACCAGGTTTGGTTTTAATTCAGTATTAAAATACACATTAGCACTGTTGGGAGTTTCCTATAGAAAACCATTTAGCTTCCAGTGTTAAACCCCGCTCTGCTTTTAGCCTGTCATTAGGAAAAGAAGAAAAAAATAAAAACCCACACCCCAAAACCCAACATTAAAACCAGCCCTCTAGAAGCTGATGCTTAAAAACCTAAAGAAATACCTGCCAGTTCAAAGGAACTTGAAGATGACACTGTGTTCTAACTACTTGAGCTGAAATCCTGTCTAGGAATGAGACCAAGAGACTGTCGAATCCCGAGGTGTGTTCTCAGCTTTCCCATGGGAGCCGTGAGATGCCTTGGGCAAGGAGCTGATCCTCACCCTTTTGCCATCTGTAAAATGGACACAAAACCTACCTCAGAGAGGTGCACGAGGTGTCTTTGGGCGTCTTTGAAACGGGAGTGAAAGATACATATTTATTGTCTGCCGTGTTTGACTTCGGGGAGCAACACTTAGATTTTTAGCTTCGTGTTTGGGATTGGTTTCCTCAAAGTGCGTGAAACATCTTTTTGTTTGTTTTTGTTTGTTTTGGTATTTCTCAGTTGCAGTATTTTTCAAATTAGCATTATTTAATAATCCAGAGTGTTTAGCTTTGCTAGATCATGTTTGCCTTGGAAATCTGCTAACAGAGAGTCAGTTCTGTTTGAGGGAGATGTCTCACTTATCACTGCTTGGATGTTTTCTTTTGTTGCCTAGAAAATAAAATCTCTTTGCTTAAAAAAGAAAAAAGGAAAGTCAATCAAACTACTGTAATTCATGGCTATAAAAGTTCATACTATTACAGGCTGACAAACTCAAACAACAAGTAGCCTCTGGTACTGACTTAGTCAGAAAACCACCTGTGATTTTCCTAAACTCTCCCAAACAAAAGTATCTACATTATTTCAAATGTAAGGTCTGGGTAGATTTAAAGTACAACTCCCTTTGTTTTAGGGGTTGGTTTTTTTTAGTACCTTATAATCAGGATTTGCCTGCCCTTAATGATCCCTTTAGGGTGTTATCACAAAAAATGACATCCTGCTATTAGTGGGATGAGCTTCTGGACATCACTCCTACATTTGCACTGAACTGGGATGATTAATTGTACAGCAAGATGTTAATTATGGATATTTTAGACTAGAGGTGATGTGGGACACAGGTACAGGTAGGGAAGCAGTCCAGAAAGTCTCTAAAATACTGACTTATGTCCTTATCATCACTTCTGCTCTCACACACGCTTATAATAAGCGTTAAATTCCCAAGTTGCGCAGAGAAACTATGGCTGCCCCATCCCTGGAAGTGTCCAAGGCCAGGTTGGAGCAACCTGGGATAGTGGAAAGTGTCCCTGCCCATAGCAGGGGCTTGGAACTAGATGATATTTTAGGTCCTTTCCAACCCAAACCATCTTGGGATTCTGTGGTAAATACCAAGAGATACCTGAGATACCAGGACTCACAGAGAATTTTACATGCCTCCAGAGTATTTTATGCATTGAAACATATAAACCATTAAATACACGAATATTTGGGTTCAGTGGTTCACCGATCTAGTCCATGGATGCAGTAGACTGAAACACCAGTCTTGGGAGAAAATCAGTAATACCCTGAATTTCTCAAGGACAAAGCCAATCCCTCAGTTCTGGATGAACTCAGATAAAAAGAGCAGCTTTTGGGGAGAGCACTGAGAAAAGGAACATCTTGTTCCATGGTGCAGAATCAGCATCTTAAATCAGCACCTTCCCATGTGCAGGGTCACAGGAGGAGCCACTTGTGACAGTTTGGGGACAGTCTCCTGCTCCCATCCCACTTTGATCAGAAACTGTTGGAGAACATCACAGTGCTACAATTGTGATCAGTCCTGGGGCAAGAACCCACTGTGAAACTGCGCCACAGGAACACAATGTCCATTTTGAAACCTCTCTGACCCAAGCAAAGTTATCTGTTTGCCCTTCTCCACTTTAGAGGAGCAGGAGAGGGACAAGGCACAAATGAAGAAAAAGCAGAATTTCTCTGCCTGAAACAGAAACCCACGTGTTGGGGCAGTTTCTGAGAAATCAGACTGACACACAGCCTCTGAATCATCTGTGTTTGGCTGATTTTACTGCCCCTGCCCTGCACGAACCCACCCATGGGCCAGCCCTGCCAACCCCTCCCTGGCAGGGAAACTCTTTAATAAAAGAGGAACAAAAAAGTTTTCAGCTTGCTATTTTGAAGATTACAACCATCCTACAATTAAATGTCTGCCTGCATTTTAAATCAAACTGCATCCATCTGTAAAACTGCCATCAGGTTTGCTCTGCTCTGGCCTGGGCAGAGTAAAATTCCTTCCAATTGGGTGAAATCGATATTGTTTTTTCAGCAGTCTGAGCCCCAGAATGGTTTCTGTAGCAGAAATGCAATAGGGAGTTCACAAAATTAGGTTGGCCAAGGTGGCAGTTTCCTCATCTATTATTTTTAATTAAAGCCTTGAGGAAAACGTTGAGGAACTGTATTATACCTTGAGAGCTGCCTTCTCATTTCTGGTGTTGGGTTAAGGGCAACCAAGCTATGGAAACACATCAGTTCTCTACCTCTCTTCTGTAAAATAGAGATAATAAATAGACTTCCTTGGCCATATTAGGGTTTAATGACTCCTGTACACTGCTGTGGAATAGCAGGCAACAACTACCTGGTATTTTCCATAACTGATTTGTCAGCACACAGACTGTACCTGCAATTTGGTTTAAGGAAAGTGTCCAACAGTCCCACAGAGTCAAATAAACGTCGTTAAGTTGACAGGAATCTTATCAGTGACGCCGTTTGGATGTGTTTCCTTCGGGGCCAGCCCTGAATCACTTGTGCTTTGTGTTTATGGACAGGGTGGGGCCCAGCGGGTTTGCGAACGTGCCAAAGTCCTTTCAGGGCATTGTGAAGTTTTCCCTGCATCATTTGACTCCTTGTGTGTGCTTCGTGCCATGTATATGAAATCAGACCTTGTTTTGGGGCAGAGCTATTTATATTCGGTGGAGGAAAAGGAATGTGGAAAAAGAACAGGTTCTTTCTGGGCATCTTGATTCAGCAGAGGAGCTCAAGATTTCTCTTAGAGGATCGTGACACTTTCCTGACCCGCACAGGGCGCTGCAGGCAGCCAGCTCTGCCTGTTTTATCCCACAGATTCGAGGCCTTGTGCTGTCAGCACACCCTCACCCTGTCCTGTTGCTCATTCACACACCGTTTGTGGTGAAACAACAAAATAACTCCACGTTTTGGTTTGCTCCCCCTCTTAGAGCAGCCTCAGCGCTGGAGTCCCAAAACCGGTGAGGCCCTAAAGCTTCGGTTTAAAATTTACATTAATCAATTAAAAATCCAAAAGGACTAATTGATTTAAACATTTATCATTAAAAACAGCTCATTAATTTTAACCTTCAGCATTTTAAACTCTCTCTAGGTTGCCGCAGCATCCAGCGCGACACCAGTTAACCAACACCCCCGGAGCAGTTCCGCCAATCCTGCGCCCATCCCCGGCTGTGGCAACGCTCCCAATGTGCCGCGTCCGCATCCCCTTCCCTGCTGCGGGCCAGCGTGGGAGAGCAGGAATGGCAGGGGCTGGCTGGGCTTGTCAGCAGCCTCTGGCTTCTTGATTTGCTCCTCAGCACACGTCCCCTTCTGTAACAGCCCCAAAAGCTGCGGCTCAGCAGTGCCGGTGGGAGCTTCCTGGCTCAGCTGCTTTTCTTTTCTCTCCATCTTACCGGGGCTTTAATTAGCTGATGTTTCCACTTCCCTGTTCTGCGGAGCAGGGAACAAGTGTTGCAACACGGCCTTTTGCTAAAAATACAAATTAAAAAA